CTTCCGCTCGTCGCGGGTGCACCGGGAGCCCCTCGGCCCCATACTGGCCGTACTGGGAGCCCTGGGGAGGGCCTGTGGCTGAGCACGGGTGCACCGGGAGCCCCTCGGCCCCATACTGGCCGTACTGGGAGGAGTGGGGAGGGCCTGTGGCTGAGCACGGGTGCACCGGGAGCCCCTCGGCCCCATACTGGCCGTACTGGGAGGAGTGGGGAGGGCCTGTGGCTGAGCACGGGTGCACCGGGAGCCCCTCGGCCCCATACTGGCCGTACTGGGAGGAGTGGGGAGGGCCTGTGGCTGAGCACGGGTGCACCGGGAGCCCCTCGGCCCCATACTGGCCGTACTGGGAGGAGTGGGGAGGGCCTGTGGCTGAGCACGGGTGCACCGGGAGCCCCTCGGCCCCATACTGGCCGTACTGGGAGGAGTGGGGAGGGCCTGTGGCTGAGCACGGGTGCACCGGGAGCCCCTCGGCCCCATACTGGCCGTACTGGGAGGAGTGGGGAGGGCCTGTGGCTGAGCACGGGTGCACCGGGAGCCCCTCGGCCCCATACTGGCCGTACTGGGAGGAGTGGGGAGGGCCTGTGGCTGAGCACGGGTGCACCGGGAGCCCCTCGGCCCCATACTGGCCGTACTGGGAGGAGTGGGGAGGGCCTGTGGCTGAGCACGGGTGCACCGGGAGCCCCTCGGCCCCATACTGGCCGTACTGGGAGGAGTGGGGAGGGCCTGTGGCTGAGCACGGGTGCACCGGGAGCCCCTCGGCCCCATACTGGCCGTACTGGGAGGAGTGGGGAGGGCCTGTGGCTGAGCACGGGTGCACCGGGAGCCCCTCGGCCCCATACTGGCCGTACTGGGAGGAGTGGGGAGGGCCTGTGGCTGAGCACGGGTGCACCGGGAGCCCCTCGGCCCCATACTGGCCGTACTGGGAGGAGTGGGGAGGGCCTGTGGCTGAGCACGGGTGCACCGGGAGCCCCTCGGCCCCATACTGGCCGTACTGGGAGGAGTGGGGAGGGCCTGTGGCTGAGCACGGGTGCACCGGGAGCCCCTCGGCCCCATACTGGCCGTACTGGGAGGAGTGGGGAGGGCCTGTGGCTGAGCACGGGTGCACCGGGAGCCCCTCGGCCCCATACTGGCCGTACTGGGAGGAGTGGGGAGGGCCTGTGGCTGAGCACGGG